GTTTCTACTCCATTTCCAAATTTGTCTTTGAAAAATGTCACTTTGTTCTTCCCCTGATTCGCATAAACCATTGGAAGGCCTTACCTATTTGACTGATAAGATTAAGGGTGAGGAATGAGGGACAAGAGATGAAATGAAATTCAGCCTTTGTGTTCAGTCGTCTGCCTGAAATTCAAAACCAGATCTGATGCAGTCGTGCTAACAGTTCTCTGACATGTTCAGGTTCTCTGTGCATGAATTATGAATAATTTGGGCATCGTAGGACTGTGGATGGGATGCACTGCACCTTGCAAAACTGTTCACAGCCTTTAAACCTTTCCACAATTTCTCATATTCAATGGGTGTCATACTGTATGTGGCAGACTAACAAAAAGTAGTGCATAATTGTGAATTGATTGGAAAGTTATTATTTGCATTTGTATTCAGGATTCCCTGATCAATACGTTTTAAAGGAACCTATCACTGCAATTAGTCTTTCTGATACATCTCTACAAACTTTGCTCTGGTAGAATCAGCAAGGTCCACCTACTATTCTTTGCAAATTGCAAAAGCACAGAAAAACACACTGCAGAGCATATGTGAAATCTTGCAAAAGATTCTCATTTTGATTTAAAATCTGGACTTTGACTGGTCCATTTTAATACAGAAATATTAAAACTCTATTATAATTATAACTGTAGCCATTTTAACTCTGGCTACAGTTGTTTATAACCTCCTCCTCAGTTTCAAGTCATTTGCAGCCAATGTCAGGTTTTCTTGATTTCTTTCCCTGCATTCAGCTCCATTTACTTTTCCATCAACTCCAATTAGCTTTCCCGTCACTGCTAAAGAGAAAAACACACACAGCATGATGCTGCCTGCGCCACATTTTGGAGGATGTCTTGCCACACAGAGCATTTCTCCATGTAGGCCAACTAGTTTTTGTAAATTTAAACAAATTTAAACCTAAATTTGTACAAGTCTCTATCAACAGTGTATCTGCTGCTCCTCCAGAAAGGCCAGATTTGTGACCTGATCGTCAGGCAGACAAATTACTCACTTAAACGCTTTACGTTGGTCTATGACATAAAACCCAAATGAAAGTTTAAATTTTAATATGATAAAATGTGGAAAATTTCAAGGTGGAATAACACTTGGCAAGGTACTGCATCTTCACCTTAGAAACACGTATTGACAGAGACGTTTGTTTTTCAGTGTCAGGTAAAACTGTTTGTCTAGGCGCTTTGACCAACATATTAATGTGTGTGTGTGTGTGTGTCATGGTGGTACCAGTGTAAAATGTCCACAAGGTTTTTATGGGACAGGAGGTGTAATTTCCCTGCATAGACCTAATCTGATCCACCCAGAAGTAACAGTGCCACCTGCTGTCCATTTGAAGAACATGCGCAGCTCGTTTCCATGGATATCTCCATCCACAGAAACCATTTTGACCCTACAGTTTCAATTCCACACACACTTATATGACGGAGCTATATTATTATTATTACTCTTACCAACACACCCTCAACACACCCTTTGATACTATTTGAATGTTTGCTTCCAAGTGCTCATTGTGCAGCTACGCTGTCACATGAGAGGTTATATTCAGGTTACCAAAAGGAGAACAATCAAAGAGGGGATGGCACTCCACACACTTAACCGAGAGAAAAAAAAAAATCCCTGTGTGCAGTGGGGTGCAGGTGGGACGGAGGACGGGTCAGCTCTGTTCTAGTGGCCAAACACAGAGGTCAAACGTCAAAATACAGGATTCAGAGTGCCAATGATGTTTGCCTCTTTCATGATAATCAGAGAACAGACGCAGCTCTGCTCCTTCGTCGCGCACGCCCCGTCCCGTCTGCTCTGCGTCATTACAACCTTCGATTTGCGAGCACTTCTACGGGCCCCGTTTGCCCGCTCCATACCTCAGAAAAACAGATGAACATGAAACACTGTAAATAATCTTTTGATTTCATCCTTATCTCTGTGTTATCTATTCTCTACTTATCTACTCTCCTTCCCCCCAAATCCCCCATTTCAACGTGTCTTTCTTTCATTTCTCCCTCCTCCTCAACTACTGATGCGGGTAAAATTAGTACCATAGACACATGGTTTCTCTCTTGTGACTATGGTGCTATGTTGTGCTGAAACTATATGTAAAAGATGCACCTTCTTGACAAAATGTAAAAAAAAAAAAAAGAAAAAAACTTTTAGATTAGGAGAAAAAAAGACAAATCAACATGTCATAAACTGATGCTATGCACAGACAAGGAAGGGATATCACAAGGGGAAAGACTGTGCATATATTTGTGAATATCTGTGGACTATCTGGATGTGAAGGACCTCTTCCTTGATCTCTAATCCTCTTTGAACTGGACTGTCGCTGCATTCCTCTGCTGTTGGTGTTTTTTGGCTTATTTATTTATTTATTTATTTTTTGTTTTATGTGTCTTTTTACATTTTCTTTTGTGGGCAAAGCCACTTGTTGTGTAGCATCTTCAAGCGGGAGATAATCATAAAAGAGAGGAGGTACAGAGAGGAGGAAAAAGGGCAAGGCAGCGGAGGCACCAGCGTCTGATGATCGAAAGAAATAATTGGATTATATTCCTACATGGCCTCATGGTTTCCTCACGGTTTTGTGGAGCTCGTTAGCTCCACAAACAGCTGTTTGTAGTTCACACCCGAGGCAAAGAGACGGAGGAATTGAAACATTTCTGTGTGAGTGGCTTTGTTGCAGAATCAGGTAGACTGTGACACAGCCACCGATACCAAAGATGCATCGAGCCCCACTGTGTGTGTAATGGTCATGGACTCACAAAAACAAACACACACACACACACACACATGCATGCATGCATGCAAAAAAAAAAAACAAACAAAAAAACCCCCACCAAACAATGTGGTGTAGAGATCCCACAGAGCAGTTGTTTGTTATGTGGGAGGAGTTGAGTGCCTTGTTCCTTCAACCTGAGGGTTACACTGCTCTGATCTTTCACTCACACATAATTTGGAAGATTTCTAAAACAACTGGGGTACACACACCATCTGTGTGAAGCGCTAAGCAGCGTTTCAGTTGGGGTGACACTTGTGCGGTGAATTTCACCGGCCACCGCGGTCCTTCTGACTCCCATTTATCTTTTCCATGCTTGACTAGTTTGGCAAACTTGCTTTACAGCAACCCAGGGCGCTGACAATTAAATTAAGTTTGTGAGAGAATACGCTCTGCACGAATATCACGTCTACTACGTTACAGCGTTTAATACATAAATGTCACATTGGATAAGATGCTTCTCAGTTGTCCACAGGCTTACAAACTCATCAAAGGTAGATTCTACAAAGACTACACGGTTCTTGTGTGGAGGATGGAAAGGAAGCTAAAAACACTGATACACAACCAGGCCGTAGCTGTTGTCAGATGCTCTTGTTCATCTGACTCAGGTACTAAGACAAAAGGCAGCAGCTGAAGCTCATGATCACGTCTGAACATGCAGAAGGATCGATTGGAGAGAGCCGTTATTGATCTACTGTGATCTGCTGACATCTGCAGAGGTTTTGTAATGACAGGGGACACACACACACACAAAAAGCAAAAGATCCTGTAAAAGAAATCGTTTTCTTACCTGGTAAACCTTACACTCATGAACAACACCAGCAGTGGTCTGGCTGATTACTTGCTGTTAAGCCTTCCCGAGAACCAGTCCGACACGTCAATTATTCAGACCGAAGGAGATGCTAAGCTCAGTGTTGCTTTTCCCTGCTCAGACAGCAGAAATTATTAAATAGCCTCTAAATTATGACGGCAACTCAAGAAGGTTTTCTGACTTGCAAATGTCACATTTGTCAACATATTGTACACAAATTCAAAGCTTGCTTGGCCACTTTAACTGGGGATTTATAACGTTAAATTGGATGCGTGTCGTTAACACCACTAAATTTGTTTTTACCTCAGAGAAAACATGCAGCACTTCCCCCAACACACACTCTGGCTAAACTTTGTGTATTTCATAGTCCAAGTGTATGCGTGTGTGTATATTCCACTTTTCAAAAGTATTTTCCACCCACTTTCCTGTCTCATTTGGGAATTTAATTCTTCCGCTCAAACCCACCGGTGAAGCCCGCTGCCCATCTGAATCCTCCTCGCTGGTTCCTCCCAGCAGGGTAGCTTTACAACAAGGCAGGCATGTGTTGACAATTCATCTCGATATACCTCAAATCTTTATTGTAAAGGTTCATGTAGTGAAACGATACAAACAGTGTTTAGCAACAAACGTGACATTAAAGTCACAGCAAAAATGATTGTTCTCTTTTTTTTTTTTTAACTTATCGACTTTCTTAGTGTGTGAAATACAAGCAGCTACATGATTCGATGTGTTTGAATTTATTTATTGTTTGTAGATTTGCACTGTTGTCTTTTTATTATGAAAAGTAAGACCTAGAGAGAATAACTTGTGTAACGCATTTGTATACGACAAGAAAAGCAGGAATTATTAAACTAAAAAGGGAAAGCAGAAACAATACATGGATTACGCAATAACTTTTGTTTGCATCAGTTTTTGCCCTAATTTTTGTTTGAAGATTGCATCCAGTGTGTTAAAAAACAAACAAAAAAAAAAACAGGACAAATCAAAAATAACCTCTGTCGTTAGGGGTGGGAAGATCTATAGCAGCATATCAAAACATGTAAATATAATTGGAAAGTTCATGACATAGATTCATTACATACAGAGTTATACGTTTCTGTTAAATTTGATGATTATTACTTACAGTTAATGAAAACATGGGAAAGGAAGAATAGTACACTCAACAAATGAAAAGCGGATTCTCACTACAGATGAATTATACCATAGTCTGCATGCTTGTTTGGAAGAATGGAGTCTCAGTAGATGTCCAGCAGAGAGTAATTGGTCTGGTTGTTAACAGAGTGCTGTATCCACAAGTATATTATAAAAGTTAAGTGGAAGAAAAAACTTTGGCTCAAAAGCGTGCACAAGCAACAACGACGACTGCGGTCATAAAAAGATTGTAAAAAAAAAAAAAAAAAAAAGCTCCTTTAAGAGTTTTGAGGAGGTTTACAAAACGTGACCTGCAGCTGGAGTCCGTGCATCAAGAACCACCTCAGGCAGACGCATCCAGGACAAGGGCCGTGACTATTACATTTCTTCTGGTAAGCCGCTTCTGAACTGGACGTCATCGACTAATGCCGATCTATCAGGTTTTATTTTCGCAGAACCTCATCTCCATGGCTGACCTCCATACCTGAATGGATTGATGAACCAGCCAAGTAAAGCAGCTCATTGGAGTCATTTCCAACTGGTATAAGTTTCAGTATTTTTATCAGTCTCTTGTAATTTTCTAAATGAAAACCAATTTGGGGTTTTGTCATGGCAACAAGCCATAATTATCAAAATGAACAAAGACTAACAATTTAAATACGTCACTCTGTGCATAATAATCCATCCATTCTGTTGTTTAGAACTGTGTATTTTTGCAAGGCCAGGGATGAGGTTCTGGGTTTGGTGCCTTTTTACGACAGACACAAGGTGAGACGCGAAGTAAACCCTGGATTGGTCTCCAGTCCACCTCAATGTGTGTAATGAATCTATGTGAAACATAACATTAATTTTGTAATGAATTACTAAAATTAATTTTTAGATAATATTCCTATTTACTAAAACACTGTGTTCTATCCTTTTTTTTAATTTTGCATGAGTTTTAATTGTATACAATAATCAGAATAAAGTGTTCAGGCAGACATAAGGAAGAGAAACCAGGTAGGGAAAAACCCAATAGCTGAATTTGATCATCTTCGTAAATCCTCTGTCTCTTTTGTGCTGCTTGTGTATTTGTATAAAATACATGTATTTATGTTTTTATATCTGTGACTTTCCTTCCTCTTTGCGCGTAAGTGTTTGCACATTTCTTCGTTTCAGGTGCAAACATGAATTAGGGTCACCGTTTTGGTTGTTTTGAACTTGTATGAATTTCCTCATTATGCTTTTGTTGCACAAAGAGATATTGAAGGAAACAGAATCACAAAGGAGGCGTCGTTTGCTTTCTCCTTCTGAGCTCAGCGTCAACGTTTTCTCCCTCATCGCTTACTGACCGATCAATCAATCAATCGGAACCAAGTGTCTTTGTGATGGTAGAGACAATCAATTTCAAATGGAAGAGAGACAAAAAAAAGATGAAGGGAGAGAGAGAAATAAGAGTAATGGAGAACGGAGATGAACCTGAGTGGACAGGATGGGGAGGAGACCAGCTCTCAGATTATGTATATCTTTATATATACATGTCTGCGAATGTGTGTGTGGGATCACCTTTAACCTCTGCAGAGTGACCTTTACATAGGGGTCCGGGGCATTCGGGACCGTCCCTCAGCTACCAGGCAGATAGTGGTGGGGATCTGCCTTGTTAAGTGGACATCTAATCGAAGATGTTGATCAAATGCCTGGAAGCATATGCATACACACTATAATACTTGGAGCCATGATGCAGAGAGCCTTTCCTCTGCTGCTTATCTTAGCGATGCAGAGAGTCTGTCGGTCGTGTTGAACCTGCAATCAGCCTGAGATTAAACAGCCGAGTTACGACTTGAACAAACGGAGTGAAAAACCGGTGTGGATGAAAATGATGTGTTTTGGACCAAAACAAATAAAAAGAAACAAGCAATTTGGCCGTTTGGCTTTTCATTTTTTCTTTTCACAAATTCTTACTGTGGCGCTTTGCTGCCACCTAGTGGTGCCGACACGACACATTGATAAGCATAAAATGTTTTCCTTTGTTGGCATCTGATGTAGCTCCTGTGAGTCTCCTACCACATTGAGGGAATTTTGAAATGATTTTTTTTCAACAAAAAGGTTTTTTTTTTTTTAAGTTATCATGATATAATTAGGTCATTTATAGGCAAAGTTTAAGGAATGTTTAGTTTTGTAATAATGTGCCAAGAAATGGCTCCACTACACTAAAAATTAGCTTTAAACTGCAAATCAAAGAAAAAAAAAAAAAAAGAACAATTGCCTCTTAAGATGTGACAGAAAACACTGCAAAATTAATAGATTAGTCAAACAATATGCTTCGTTACTTCAGTGGAGTGTGATTTGAAGTAGAAGCAGAGACTGGATGCAGATGAGTAGAAATTATTAGACGAATGGAGGCTTCAAAAAATGGCAAGGTTTTGAGACAGCTGTGACTTCTGACCAGTATGTTAAACTGGTCCTGATTTGTTTTCTTCTTATGTCCTCTAAATGGTATTTGCAATATAAATGCATCCAAGGTCAATAAAAGATTTAGAAAACAATTCCAGTTTAACGCTTTTTAAATTCACCACACCTCCTTGGGAAGATCAATCTGAGAAAAATGACAGCTCAATAAAAAAACTAACAAAAAAAACATTACTCCTTCACCAGTAACCAATTCATAAAGTTGAGACTTTATGAAAGTCATTCTGATTGTATTATAGGTAGATTAAAACAAAGATTAGCATTTATTTTTCTATCTCAGTCATGTTTAAGTCCATACTTGATTAGGCTAGTCTGAAAGCTTTATTTAGTCATTTATTCCTCGTTTGCTTGAATAATTCAGAAAATTAGTTTACAGGCAGACTCTCTGGTGTTGTATGGATTATTATCCTGACGTAAAACTCAAGAGCACTTAAGGATTTGAACCGATGGCTGGACATTGTCCTTCATGATGTTTTGGTAGTCGTTCAGGCCTAACGGCTTCAAATTAGCACTAATGTGTCATACTACATCCTTCACGTTTACCTGCTTGTGTAATGTTATTTAGCTGATCTGTTGTGTTAAGTTTTACACCAGATGTAAATAAGACACACACCTTCCAAAAAGGTTGTATTTTTGCCATATCAGTCCCCAGAAAACTTCTCCAGAACTTCGAAGGATCATCAAGATCCAAGTTTCTTAACTATAAATGATATGAGACAGGATTTTTTGACCGACTTTGTTGCATTAGAGAAGATAATAGTAGGAGCTTCATCGTCGTTCGCAGAAATATTTAACGTGTTGAACAGAATAAAATAGAAAATGAGAAGACAGTAAAATGAGGTTGCTGTACAGTATGTTAACTATATATTTCACACTAGAGAAGGAGTTTGGTCACTTAAGATGTTATCAACCTTTCCAGCTAATGACCTTTACTCATTTTCTCCAGTCTCTTATTCTTATACATCTGTATGTATGCATCAGTTAGCAAAATAATCCAAGTCAGATTATTAAAAAAAAAAACAAAAAAAAAAAAACTATTGTATTTTGAGTTTGTATTACAAAAAAAGAGACATGGGGTCCAGTTAGTCACATCATGCTTTTATGACGAAAGAGGAGTTAATTTACAAGACAAACAGTATATAAAACATACACTGAATTAAAAAAAAGAAACCATATGTTCTTTATAGACATAGTACATTATAACCCTTCCCTTTGAGACCAAACAGCCATGGGACTGAACAAAACCTGGGTGATCCCTGGAGGAAAGAAGCAGCAGTTAAATCCTATGTTACTATACCTACACTATTTACAGTTCAACAGTCATTTTCCTCTGTCAGACATGGCAAGGAAGTCTACAGATTTGATGACATGATATGGCTAATAGAGCTAATATTTACACGTTCTGTTCCTGTCATCCAAGGATCAAATTATTCTGGCATTAAAAAAAAAGTGCCTTTTAAAAGTGTACAGTCAGATGCCGATGTAGCTAAAGAGGATCGGAGACTAAATTTGGTACTTCATGTATAACAGTCAGTTTAATTTGTCACTCATCTCTAGTTGTGACTGATCACCTTACACGATTTAATTAGACAATTCAAACTACTTTCTAGAGTCCATTCATCCTTTTCCATATTAGTCATCTTACAACCACAAGCTTTAGTGGATTTTATTTGATTTGTCGCTTTTGGTGACTTAAGAAACACCCTCAATGGTAGCAACAAGTGGTGCTAAAAAGTACTGACCGAGGGGCTGAATGCAATCTATTCCCACACTTTTCAGATTTGTATTTCTAAAAACACTTCTATAATTTAATTCAACTTAACCAAAGTAACTTAACCACAACATGTTAAGTTACTTTGCATTGATCTATCATACAAAATCCTATTCATACTGAAGTTTGAATATGATTTCAAATTAGAAATCCTATTCAAATTTGTGGTCGTAATTAGAAAGAATGTGAAACAGTTAAAAGGTCTGAATGCGTTTTAAAGGCATAATAAGTCCAGGGCACTCATTCCTAGGTTTATGAGTTAGGAACAACTTTGTTTGACAAAAATACAAAAGCATTACGGCAATTATCTGAAAAAGAGAGAAAATAAACGCATTCTTAAAGAGGCTGGTGCTATAAAGAGAAAAGACCAGAGAGTCAAAAAAAAAAAAAAAAAACAAAGTGAGGGAATGAATTAAATGCGTTTTCAAGTATTTGCTATCTTGTGCAATAGAGATCTGGTGCAGATACAAAGATAGGTTCATAAAATGTGGGGAAAATTGAAGCGTTGACTCAAACTTGCTATAAAACAAGCAGAAATCGGGCACTTTCTTGCTCTTAGAAGACAAAAGAAAAACCTCTTCATCAAAGTGCAAACCTGGGAACAAGTGCCGGCCACATCTACATGAGCTCTCCACGCCTTGTGCAAACCCCACAGGATCTTTAAGAGGGCGACAATATTGAATAAAAATCAATAAAAGTATGCCATGAATAATCTTATCCCCATGCAGAATTGATCAGTCCCAGCCACCTGCCTGGAATATCAATTGCTCTATCTACAGCTTGTACATCAGAGCAGATCATTTGTTTGTGACAAGATATGTGTAAAAGTACAATCATTCCAAGTAAACACTTGTTTCTCCTTCAAAATGCACCCTCCCGTTTGAATATCCGTGAATGCATCGTGACTCGTCTCCCCTCGCTCCAGTTGGATTCAGCACGTTTGCTTCTGTTCACGAGCAGCAGCAATGGCACCTCTGGCTCTCGGTGCAGGTGTGAGTTTGGCACTACCAATCACTTTATACAAAAGGCATGCATAGATTCAGCCTGTTGAGACCACAAGCTGGAACGTCTCTTTGCTCTCCGGGGGGAACCAATCGTTTGCCGATCAGAGAAAGAACAGAGCTGTCAGATTGTTGGGGTTTCTGTTTCGGATATAATTTACGGACCGATTTCCACCGGCTGTCCTGCAGCTTTTAATCGAATTAAGATCAATCCTCATGACTTTTGCTCCATTTCGCATGTGTGGCAGAACGAATCCGACCACACAACACCCACTGGTATTGCTAAAAATATCAGTTGAATAAATCTAACAGTCAGTCTGCTTTCTTTATTTCTAACCTATCCGTTTTATTTCTTTCTTGCAAAAAATAAACGACAAAACAAAAATACTGGCGCATCAGCAAAGTTGCAGATGCTGCTGTTGTCCGTCTCGACCACTTGGTGGCAGTGTAACCATATAAAACGCAGCGATTTCTTGCAGTCCTCTGGTCAAGGTTAAGATGAACCAATTATCTGTCCAATGTGCTTTAGCAACGCTCTGCTCAAATATTCCTGCTAGCTGTGACAGTTTGCCTCCAGAAAATCGTGACTGCAGATATAATTTATGTCTAGATTATTATTCTACAACTAAAATCTTTAATCTAGGGTTTCGGCGGTGCAGTGTTCTTAGAGGAAATGAAACTAATAAGCCAAATAAACACACAAATCAGACGAGCTCACTCCTCCGTCATCCCATTACTGCTCGTTTCAGCTCAGATAAATTCTGCTCCAGTCTAATCCAATCAAAAAAAAAAAGAGAGAGAGAGAGAGAGAGAGAGATGGATTTATCCAGCGCTAAAGCAGAATCAGGAATGACAGAGGTGGCGAGAAATGCTGCTGCAGAAATGACTGCTCTAAAGGTAAGATTAAATATAAAAATAATAAGAGCATGGTTTAACATAATGACAACAGAGCCGTCTTTAATCTGGAGCTGCATGGAAACAGTGTAACAAAGCAAAATTGGAATAATTCAGGCTTTGCACCAAATAATGGTATAATTATAGTGTCTGGGATTTTACACTGTTTGTGCTAATAAGGAGTTCCCAAAGGGAAATTGTCTTGTTGTGGTTTAGGTTAAGTTTCTGCAGCTGTATTAAATTTGTGCAGTGCCTTGTAAAAGTATTCATACTCCTCCAACCATTAACATCTACATATTCACTCGGGCTTGACGCTATTGACCAAGACAAAATCGGAAAATGGAACGGAAATGGAAATGAAAAGTGGAAAATTGCAACTTGTATTTGTGTAAAGCCAATTTCACTTTGATTCCCTTAAATAAAACTAACTGGTTGCCTAATTGGTAAGTGGTCCGTCTGTGTGTAATTTAATTTCAGTATGAAGACAGTTGATCTTTGAAAGCCTCATGAGTTTGTTGGGGAAAATTTGTGAACAGGTCACGTTTTCAAAGTTGCAGAAAGACTTGAGATTATGCCAGAGGTTCACAGAAGTGTTTGGTGGTATAATATGAAAAAGTTCAAGGCGTTTGAATACTCTTGCAGGGAAATGCATGTAGGCAACACGTCACTGAGCTGTGGCCAGGATAAACCAAAGGAGACGGCAAAGGATTCTACTTTTTAAAACAACTGTAACAGCAGAGATAAATAAATCTGGTTTCCAACAGAAAAAAAATAAACCCCACATAAAAAACTGCCAGCTAGAGTAAAGACTTTAGAGCAAGATATTATGCAAATGTGCCTTTTTAGGGAGAACTATTAAAATAATTACATGCCAGAAATTATGATCAATTAAAAATATTTTACATACTACTAAAATCTGCTCATACCTCTGCAAGGACTTTTCAAGTAAAAGCCACATAACAGGTTTTTTTTTCAAAAAATCAAGAATGGCTTCTCCAGTCTTCAAGGGGTTTTTTTCAGGACTTGAGGGCTGAACAGAGGAAATTGCTTCTTTCCAACCCCAATCGTCTAATAAACGTCCCTTTTTTATATATATATATATATATATATATATATATAAATGGACAGCTTAAATCTGCAAGGTGAAAATGAGTGAAAAAAAAAAACTCAGTCCCCCTTCCTACATTTGTAAGATGGTATCAGATAACGAATGTATCATCAAGAGAACATACATACAGTCCAGTCCATTGGTTCTCATATCCAAAATAGTTCCCAGAGCAGCATGGTTTCAGTCTGCTAAAGTTCAAGGTGAGGTTTGAAAGAAATGGTTGGGTGTGACATGGGAACCAGTTGTTTTTTTATAATTTTTTTTTTTAGGGAACCTGGGTCACCCCTTTCATCTTAGTCGCTGATCCAATCACTGCTCTGTGTTTGGTGGCATCACGAGTAGCGACGAATCATTACATTACAACACCGACTCACCAACCACACAGGACACGCATCTACTACCACACAACCATACTCCGGCCTAATACTGTGAACAGGGACAACAGAGATCGGAAATGCTAAGAAGACGACAGAAAGAAAAGGGGCAGACGACCTGGGGGAGAAAGGGGTTAGAGGCAAGAGAAGGAAACGAAATGAAACACTCATCTACACTTACAATTCTGCATGATGTTTACACAATAACACCATCGACAATCACTACAGACATTCTTACTGTCTTCTAAACCTAATTTCCACTGAGAAATACCAGAAAATGGAAACACCAGAGGGATGGCTTAGGGAGAAGTGACATGGAGGCAACATCCTGTTCTCAACACCACGGCAGCCGAAATGGCTGCAGTTAACAGTAGCGGTAGAAATCAGGCCAGTTTTGCCATCCGTTCTCATTTTGTCTCATGAATCTTTTAACAGCTGTTTAGTTATTCATCTTGACAAAGAATCTGTGGTTTCATCATCCCTGACAAGGGACAAAAATGGAGTTTGCATAAATCATCTTAAAGGAACAAGAGAGTTCTCTCTCCTGCAGCAAATTATACCCAAACCATGAATTTGTTCTAATAAAGAGGGTCTTTCTTTTGATCACTGAGTTGTAACTTTTCCACTGTATGGCTTCCAGAAATAGAAAAAAATTGACATTTTGCGCTCACCAGCCCGGTAAGAACCACTCCCTTGTACTAACACTTTGCTTCGTACAGAGGATCTGGACTGAGCTGTTCAGAACCGAACGCTTCCTGGAGGCGTGGACTGTGTCGAGGTTTTAAATTTTAAATTTTATGTTTGCTCGTGACGAATGAAATGCGCAAGTTCGACGCCACTTACCGGAAATTGCCTACACTGTAAACAACCGTCCTCCACTGCGAAGAGAAAGAAGCGCTCATCCGAAAGAAGTGGCTGCCAGTGTTGATTAGCGCAGAAGATTGACGTCATCGTTCACGATTCTCTTTCTGTTCGCTGATTGGCCCGTTCAAAAATTGACCGGAGACAATCTGAGAGAGCCCAGATTGTGTTGGATATGAGGACTTTTTTTGTTTGTTTTGGAAGCTAACGCTGAGATTTTGATTCAAAACCGTTTCATGTCTTTTTGTCACTAGAACACAATTTTCAACTATCAGTGTATTTTGTCTGTTAACCATTTTTAAAACCTTTTCTCAAAAAAAACATTCTGTTTATTACTTAGACAAGTAGGATGCTATTTATTAACAAGCCAATCCTAGCAATACTAATCGACTTGGTTGCATCTATTATTTATTTACTGACCAAATTAGATGTTTTTTTTGGCAATGAAAGTCACAGAAGTAGCATACAAATTTTTGAACCCAATATTACATCTACTGAAAGTGGTAAAAGTAAGGCACCATAGAAGAGGTGTAAATTATCCACCCATGAGACAAATGACCATTACTGCTAACCGGTAAAATAGGAGTGAAGTTAAATACCTGTGGCAACCGGCACAGACACCTGAGCTACGTATTTTTGGTGCCTTTAATTTGTATAGGTTAAAGCTGGAAAAGTCCTAATTTTGTGACTAAGCTGAAGGGCCCAATTCATCCACTTGAGTTCAAGTCTGATTTAAAAGGGAAACAGACTGGAATAAACTGCTCATTTACACTTATAACATTTCTGTGTTTCATTAAGCCAGTTGAAAATATTGAGAAATAGTTTGGTTTTGGCTTGTGTTGTGAACAGCATTTAGCCTGGTTACTGAAAACTAAATGACATTTTCCTGGTTTTCTGACTGATTATGTATGACACCATTCTGAGATTTTAATTTTGGCATCTGTGGCTATAATCAAATCAGTACTATCAAATCCCACTGGTATTCATATCTTCGCCCAGAATGTGCTCAACTCAGTTGGTTTCATTTCTGATGAACATGGAAGATGGCATGAATGGTGATTGCATGCGACTGAACGATGCATATTATTGTTCAGCTTGAAAGAAAGCTCGGTGGACACTGAGCTTTTCACCCGAGCAAAACAATTTTGCTTGTTAAAATAATGAACAATATAAACTTTATGGTTTACTTCCTGGGTGTTGGACTCCAGGCCATCAGTGCAGACGTTCTGCAACTTTCTAATGTCTTCCTGGACCAACACACCTGAATTAAACGGCTGAATTGATGCAGTCGAGTTCTGCAACATTCTACTATCAGCATAATTATTTGATTCAAATGTGTTGAAGCACAGACACATCTAGAACATGCAAATTACAGACCCTCAATGTCTTGAGTTTAACACCTCTTGCTCAGGAGTCATCAGAACTACTGTTTTGTTTGTTTGTTTTGCCATCATCAAAAACCATCAGTTTATATTAACTCAAGTTTCTGAGCAGTTTATATTTTGTTCGCAGGCTCCATTTAGATCACTTTGTGAGGTGTTGAGAACAGAATAACGTCTCATGGTGGATGAGGTGCTTTAACACAGTGAACATTCAGAAGCTCACAGACAACAACGACTGAACAGAATAAAAATAAGGGACAAACAAATATGCAACGTAACGCTTGAAAAAAAAAAATCCCAAAAATAAAACCTTTTGTTATTTTTTTGCCATTGAGACCACAGTACTACTCTCCACTATACGATGCACATGGTGTGTGTGGGTAGGGTGAACACAACTTCATTTACATTTTAATCCTCAGTCTCCAGCCAGGGACCCCTCCCAAAGGAGGACCCAGTGGGGGTGTGTGGGGGTGGGGTGTGAAGGGGGGGATGCACTGGGCTAGGGGGGCAGAGACATTCATGCACCGGCCGTTTCAGAGACAGAAAGAGAAGTCAGCATCACAATTATAGACTTGTGCTTGTGTGTGCCATGTCGGGTTTGTTTGCTCTTGTGCAACTATGACTGTTGTTCCTTTGTGTTTGTTTGTGTTATTCTGTGGAACGTACTGCAAGCTCAGCGACACCGGATAATCTTGTGAACACCAGGACCGCTTGTAAAATGGCAGTAGTGATAATTATATGACTAAATCATGCACACGCTATATAAAAATTCAACCTACACAAATTATGGCTTTGTTTCTTCAGTCACAAATTTCCAGTATTGGCTATATGGCTATACATGCAGTATTGCTGGAATGTTACAATTAGCAAATAAATGTGTTCAATGAAATCTTTTTTCTGTTGGTTTGTTACTTTGCTCTTCCTGAGAAAAGGTGCAATATGTTATCTACTGTGTGTCATCCCCAATTTGGAGAAGTGTTTGTCTTGTGAAACTACGTGTCCTGTCTCTGCCTCTGAATAAGACCCAACTCTCCAGGCTGCTCCCCCCGGGCAGCACCAGGAAGGTTAGGGTGGCCACCAATGCAGCAGAGACCAGAGTTCAGGGGTTTGTGTAGGGGAGCAAAACACAAGTCAAAAAGGCTTATGTATTCTCGCTCGTACTACTCAGTTTACCCTCTGTTCCTGTCAGCCTGGACCATTTGCTCTCTCTTGCATTGGTTCATTTGGTTCCTGTGGTGGCCTGTGTTTGGTGTTCATAATTTTTAATTGTCTGAGTCACAGGCAACCGCAGCACCTCTTGACCGGTACACTCGTCCCAAACTCACACAGCTCATGTTTGGGCAGAATCTCACAAAGAAGTAAAGATCAAATGAACGCTTAAAATCGGTGGCCTCCAGGACATTCTTTACCGATTTCTAGCCTTTTCTTTTTATTTGTTGAAATAACCAAGAAAGTGCTGTTCGTGTTGCAAATATAACTTATCACTGATGTCTGTTTCTTACGACAACATTATTGTCAAGCATAATCGATTAATTAAACTCTACTACTGTTACGTACAGTAGCATTCAACACCACAATCTAAAGAAAACCACTGCGAAGAGGAGACATCAAAGTAATTTAAATTTCAAGCATAGGTCAAATTAAATCACAACTGTAGTTTTGAGGTGGCCACCCAATTTGGAGCAGAGCAATAGACACAAGCTAATGTTGTGCTCTCAAACTTCTTTGTGAGTTAGTGGCTGTGTGTGTTTGCGTGTGTCAAACACGTCTTTGGGACGTGCTTATGCCTCCCCTGAGGGACCCCTGGCTGCGTTGTTTCATATCATTTTCATGTTAAACTTCCTGGTCCCTCCTGTAGAGCTCCCCGTGGTGGGTTCAGATTTCCGGAACGAGTACTCCACTGTGAAGTTGTTCCTACGCTGGCCGCGTCCACGGCTCCACACAAATAACAACAGGAAGCAGAAGAGAACAACTCCGAGAAACGTGATGCAACCCATGGCTGTTGAGACCAAAATGGTGGTCAGGTCCAAGGTGAACTTGAGGAAAACCCGTGTGCTGTTTAGATTTGTGTCGTTGAAGTACTCCCCGCTGTACAGAGAGCGGTTAAGAAAGAAGGCGGAGGCAGAGTCTAGTGGCTGGCCTCTTACTGTGAGAGTGGCAAAGTAGGTGTCATTGCCTCCAGCGTTTGAGGCAATGCAGATGTACGTCCCGCTGTCAGTGAGCTGAGCATAGCGGATCTCCAGAGTACCACTAGGGAGAACAGTGATGCGACCTGAACTCTTAGCTGTGATTCGTCTACGCAGTGGTGAGATCCAGATGATGGCAGGTGTAGGATCTCCGTCAGCTCGACATACAAAGCTCACTGGCTGGCCTTCCCGAGCAACCACCTAAGAGAGGTGGTAGAGCACACGATTGACTATACATAAAAAATTCAGCATATGCAGTATGAAACATTAACATCTCACAAACATTAGAGGACGTTTTAGCTTCTTCAAAAGATTACCTGCTGCATCTTACGGTTGCGGATCTTAGGTTTCTGGCATGTAAAGTGATCGAAGAGAGCAGAGTCAGAGAAGGCGCTGAGGCTGACTCCTTGCACCTCCACCGGGCCTGCACAGACTGGCACTCTGCCGTCAAAGTTGAGGGTCTTGCGTCTTTGCAGGATCCACAACAGACGGCAGTCGCACAACAAGGGATTCCCGTCCACTCTGAGGGTCTCCAGACTGTTAACAGAGTGGAAGGACCCCTCTTCCAGAGTCTGCAGGTCGTTGGAGGAGAAGTTGAGTACTCGAATCTGTCTGAGACCTCCAAGGGCATGAGGCTCCACCGTCAGCAACCCAGTGCTTACCATGATGAGCTCCTTTAGCCTAAGCAAGTCCTTGAAGGCCCAAGGCTCTAGTGTGGTGATGGGATTGTAGGACAAGTTGAGATGGGTGAGGTGCACCAGGTTCTTGAATGAATTAGAAGGGACAGTAGTGATGTTGGTGTTGGTGATGAAGAGCCAGTGAAGATCAAGGCCCTGAAAACTAAGTGGAGAGATATACTCAAGGTATGGCCAGTGATCGATATCCAGACCCCGCAAATTATTCAACTTGCGAAAGTTTTGATCCTCCAGGGCAGTGATGCTTAGGTGTCGAAGGCGAAGAGTGACCAGGCTGTGGAGGTAGGACAGCGTCTGGCCAGAGATGGATGTGAGGTTGCAACGCTCTATTGTGAGATCTTCTAGTCCCAGAAGTCCAGAGAATGCCTGTGGCGAGAAACATGGGGTTGGAGAATAGTCATTTCAAAACATACACAAAGACAAGAATGTTTTTTTTTTTGTACATAGGGTAGTAGGAGAGCAAAAACAAAATCAGAAAGGAGGCACTCAGGCAAATTTGTTACCATTTTTGTTGCACTGTCAGGAAAGCTTACCTTGTGGGAAATATAAACCAGATCATTGTCTCCAACTTCCAGCTGTTTAAGATTCCTCATATCTTGGAAGGTGTAGTCCAATAAAATCACCATCTTATTCTCACTTAGATCCAGGCTGGTGAGATTGCCCAGCTTGGCAAATGCCCCCATAGGTACTAACTTCAGCTGATTCCCCCGTAACTTTAGGACTTTAAGATTCTGAAGAGCGGCAAAGGCATTTGGCTCTAATGTGGCAATGAGGTTTTCACTAAGGTCCACTTCCTCCAGCCGGGGGTACGGTGCCAGATCACCCGACTGTACCCAACGGAGCCGGTTCTTGCTGAGGTCCAAGACCCGCGTCTCTGTTGGAATGCCTTCTGGGATGTTTGTGAGCCGCCGCCGCTGACACGACACAGACCTCAGATGAGCTGAACACTCGCATCGTGGAGGACAGGCCTTACTGCTCTCTGGCAAAGTCAAAGCTATGACAGAGACCAGCAAGGAAGCCAGAACCCATTTCCACACCCTCGGCCATGGCACTAAGGCACGACCAGCAGGACCAGGAGAGTCAGTCATGGCGCTGGTCCTCTGACTCCTCGCCTGATACAGGCAGGGTCAGTGCGCCAGACACCTGCAATACAGAGGAGAGACAGAATAGTAGGGAAAATGTGTGAGAAGAAATCCACCACAGGTAATTGTGAAAGAAAGAAAGTAATGCGCTACAGTGCCATAAAATAGTGCTTCAGCAGTTTGGCATGTTGTTACGTTACAAACACAGACATAAATGTTTTTTACTGCAACATTCTGTGACGTAGAGCACAAAGTAGTGCCTAATTGTGAAGTGAAAGAAAAAGATACACATTTCTCATTTTGTAAATCTAAAATGTGAATACTGTGGAGAAAAAAAACCGTATATCCACACAGGATGTTAATAATCTACTTTACGGCAAAGCAACTAGAGCTATGGGCCACATACTGACCCAACGTTACACTTCGTCCAGTGAGATCCCATCATAGTTACACTGATGGCTCTAAGATGTTTAAGATAATTTGTTTTTTCACCAATTTATTGGAGGCTGCTGCTTGGAAACTGGGACGCTGAGAGCCATGTGAGAGGGAGATTGTTGCTCCAGCTGAAATCGTGTGCCTTGCATCTACTCTGTCTTCCTTGCAGCGCTGAGACCGTCTGCTCCATTTTTGACAAACACAATGCATTTATTATCACCCCACATATGCACATGATGAGATTCTCAACAAGCAAGTTGCGCCTCCAAGCGCTGCGCACCAGTGCTCTGAAACGAGGTTGAGAAAGACATCAGTGTAAAATCATATACAGTGTTTGATAAGGCTGATGGATGGTTGCGTAGGTTTGGAAGTTTGCTGGCTAAGAATTAAATCATTTTAGTCCTCCCAGCACAAAGATAAGATGAGTCACTTGTCCTTTAACACTCTTTTAGGCAACCGTTAATTACTCCCACTTACTGTTTTCAACATGGAAACTGTCAAAGAGCACCTGGCATCGGATCTTCAACATGTCTCAGTTAGGCGGGCTAACTCCAAAGCATAAGTACAGCGTGAAGGAGAAAAAAAAACTTGTTTCCTTCCAAACACAAACTGTCCTCCTGCAGGGCTACACATTAAACTCTCAACGATTAGCTTGCTAATTTATTTTTCAGAGAGGAAATGAGAAGGAATATTTCATCATAATGAAGGAAGATCATGTGTAAAATGCTCTCTGATGCTGGCTTTTGAGGGAGAAAGAGCCAAGTAGATGAATAATACATAGGTTAGTTTGTGCTGAATGGGCAGCGTCCAAGGCGTAAGCCAGGCAGTTAAAAGAAGCAAAAGTTGCTAGCTTCTCCAGACGCTGCAGGCTTTGCTTTGAGTTCCTTCTTCCCCCACACCTTAGCTTCAGAAAAAAAGCTTATTGAATCCCTAATTATATCAAATGGTTTCATAGCGGCGGCATTAATGGCATCAGTGAAGATAAAACCAGACTTAAACCAAATTTACACGATGCCATATAAATTGTGTGCACATGTGCACATTTCTCTCACATTTTTCACACTTGCTCACACAAAAAACTGGTCTCCGTGTGGCGGGATAAGTCCCTCGTTTTTTTCAGATGCCGCTGAAAGAACCGCTTTCTTTTCACATCCCTGTTCTGGAGAATCTGATAGAAATCTGGCACAAGCTTTTCTTTCATTTGGAGACAAAACTCAGACACAGCGAGTCCTCTGTGCAGACTGTTGCACAAACTGACCCACTTCTCATGTGCAGCTCTGGCTTGTGCTGCCAGTCGGCTGCAACTCACCATGACCACAACAACTGAGCAGCAAACCTCATTGTCTCAGTGGGACGGGGCTCAGGAGACAAACAGACAGATCTGAAAAACTAACAACTGTGTACAAAAAAAAGAAGAAGAAAAAAAGAGAAACTAAAAAGAATTGGGGCAAGTGTTTCACAAAGAGGAGCATTCACTGGTTGCCGACGTTAAGCTATCAAGGCTTTAACAAGTTATGACTTTGAAATCACAGATGTTTTCTTTTTGTTCTATTGTTCCCCCAGTTTAAAGTCCTTTAAATGAGTCAGTCATCTTGTTATAGTCGTAGTTGTTCAGAGTAGAAAGGCGAAGACGTGTAACACACTTGTCTGTTTTCACATCAAAAGGGCAATTAATGTTTTGAATAACATTAATATCACTGTAATGAATAGTATGTTACATTATTTTAGCAACTGTTTGAGTCGATTGAATTGACTTCTTTGTGCATTTGATGTAAAGTGGCTGAATATAAATAAACTGAATTTAATTTAATCTGTAAGAATAACTTATCGCATTTTTATTTCAAATAAAAGCACTTTAATCATCTAATTGTCTAAATACTGCTCAGTTTAATTCATTTAAGTTACTTTTTGTACATATGTAGCATCGATCCACAACAAAGGCATGTAAAGGCAAGTATGAATCCATTGTTTTTTCCATTTTATGGATTCAAATTAAGTTACATACTGTGTAGTCAGGATGGGAATAGCTGTTTGCATGTTTATATATTTTATTATTTTTAGTCTTTAGAATTATAACTGTTCTTCTTGTGCTATCACAGGTTTTTTTCCTCAAATGTTTTAACTTTAATGTGTCATTTTGGTAATTAAAGAACAGCTCTTTTTAAGTAACACAGGAGGTGTTGCTTCAGCGTGAGTTTTGCTGAAGGGGATGGAGTCCCCAGTTTGCCAAGAAAGTGTATTTTTGCTGTTGCTAAATATTACCAACAGTCTGACCATAAATCAGGGTGGATGTTTCCCGTGTTTTAGTTTTCGGTTTTGTTAGTCGATGTTAGATTTTGTGTTCATCTCTCGTGTTTGTCTGCGTTCCATTATCTCAAACACTGATTGCTTTATACTGCTAAAGGTTTCCATTTAATGTTCCCTGGTCCGTATCATTTTGTTTCTGCTTTTCGCTTGACTCACATTGATCAGCGAGTGAACCTGCCACGCATTTATCATCATCTTCTGCTTTTTCAGATTTTTTTTTTTTTTTTTTTTTTTTTGTTATTTACCCTGGAGTTCTTTGAGGTGCATTTCTAGTTTGTTCCTGTTTGTCCTAATGCAACAAGAGTCCTGCAATGGCATCCTGCATGCCGGCTATCGTCTTGGATTTGCATCTTTTTCCTCTCATCCACTCTAATGCCTTCATCATTTTCTTTTATTTGTTGTGGGGCTTAGTAGGCTCGAGACACAAACGGCGGCTAAGCAATTATCTTGAAATATTTGCGAGTAAAATTAAATATACTTACTCTCACTGGCTTGGAGGAAATTCAGTAATTTAAATGATTCATTTAACTCATTCAATGGGAGCAGGTAGAGACTATTTCAAAAGTCAAAGGGGGGAAACGGAATATACTCACGCGTCACTCAAAGATCTTAAAGATTTTCATGTCACCTTTGTGGTCAACTTACAAAAACTTTGTTGTCAATCAGCTGTCAATTGATATGCCACATTTTTGAAAATAAAGAATTGGAAAATCGGTTTGCACATTCATATTGGTGTCTGTTCAATGCAGTTAAATACTTGCGTTATTTCATGTTTTTATCCCCACTTTTTTTTTTTGCTGGTTTCAAGTGTCAGTTCAAAGAGTTAATAACTGATAGAAAAGACAGATTGTTCTCAAAAACAGAGAAAAACGATCAATTTTAAGAAATTTTTGCTGCAAAGTAAACCATTAGGGAAAATAAAAAGTGGTGGTGTCAACGTTAGCTGCAAACTTAATGTTCCACATGTTAATATGGGGTTTAAATGGTGTGTTATTACCATGGGCTTGTTTTTGTGTTTATTTCCCCCTTTTTTGAATTGCTACAATTGTTATCATCCATCATGCACTGAAAAAAACAAAAAACCAAACAGAACAGAAACCTACCAAGGTCTATCATCCAGAGTGGGTGATAGAAGAAAAAAAAAATCAATAGCACAGACTGTTGGCATAAAACATGACAAATATTGCTTTAATGTGTGAATCATTCACAACCTTGCATGAAGACCTCTCAAACAGCTTAATCAACAAATTAACATCCGGTGACAGCTCTGGTTTAAGGTTATCATGAGCATATTCTCTGTTGTTTTGCAAATTTTCAGCTTGCTAAATTTTTTTTGCTACAAGCCTGGTGCAAACACTTCCTGACCAGTGAGCATCACTGCAGCATTTAAACATTTTGAATTCAGTTTTACTGACCTGATTAATGCTAAACATGAAACTAAATCTTTTTTTTTTTTTTTTTACTGCAGCTAAAGATGGCCCAGTGACATGCAAAGCATTACATTGCCATGGGATAATCAATTTTGCACACTTTGCTTTTCAGTGACTTTAATCTAACAGCAGATCTGAGTATAAAAGGTGTGTGTGTGTGTTTGTGTTTGTGTGTGTGTGCATGCACCCTCTTTGCTCTTTGGCCATTTGATAGATGCAACCTGTCTTCACAGTCCGCCCCCCCTGACAGTCATCCTACGGGTCAGCAGCAGAGCCACGGCATGAATCAGTGAGCTGACACTGTCAAGGCAGACAACGTCCTCAATGCTTGACTCAAGAACAGGAAGTGATCCTGAACCTTCCTTTTTGCTTACACACACACACACACACGCACACACGTACACACAAAGAGCTGGGGGCGTCTGTCCATCATCTACTGAACAGACACGTAAAAAGGTACACATTTACTCTTGTTCTCCAAGCAAATAGCGAAGTTTTTCTCCTAGTTGTCACTCTACGCAGATTCTTGGTTTCTTTAAGAGTAAAACCTGTAATATTTTCATCTTCTGTTCTCATTCCTCACCTTCCTTTCAAGTAACTATTTTGCAGGACTCTGGAACAGTCCTGTGTTTTTTTTTTATCATTTCAATTAGGTTTTAAACAAGACCTTCTTACTGAGTGGTCTCTGCTTAGAGTATGAAATGATCTTTTGTCGACTGACTGCAGAATCTACTGTCACTGTTTTGTTATCTTATGTCTGCCTTTTACGCCCAAAAATATAAAAAAAATAAAATAAATAAATTTCAGCATATTTCATGAAATCCTGCTTCATGTTCGTCAACTGGCACTGACTGAAATCACATCTTATTTAAAAAAAAAAAATCTTCAT